CTAATTCAGTTTTTGTAGGTCGATGGCTTGATTGAGTAAGTTTAAAGTTGAGTCTCGATGAAAATTGGCTTGATTGAGTTAGTTTAAAGTTTTCCTGGAAAACTAGTGAAGAGAAAATTTTGAAACTTTTTGCATGTGAAAAGAAAAGTCAGAGGCTCATTTTCACAGAATTTCAAATTTTTCCAGTAAAAAATAACATGAAGAATCTTGGAAATCAACCTCCAATAACTGAATTAATTGGAAATACATTTGAAAGTTTTCCTGGAAAAATAGTGGAGAGAAAATTTTGAAACTCTGCATGTGAAGAGGAAGGTTTGAGGCTCATTTTTTCAAAATTTCAAATTTTTCCGGTAGAAAATAACATGAGGAATCTTGGAAATCGACCCATAAAAACTGAATTAATTGAAAATCCAGTCTCACACATTTCAAATTTTTTCTGAAAAACTAGTGAAGGGAAAATTTTGAAACTTTTTGTATGTGAAGAGGAAGGTTAGAGGTTCATTTTCCCATAATTTCAAATTTTTCCATTGGAAAGTAACAACATGAAAAATCATAGAAATCAACCTAAAATAACTGAATTAAAATTAATTAAAAATACTGTCTCACACAATTCAAAGTTTTCTTAGAAGAATAGTGCAGGGAAAATTTTGAAACTTTTTGCATGTTAAGAGGAAGGGGAGAAGCTCATTTTCCCAAAATTTCAAATTCTCCTAATGGAAAATAACAATAAGAAAAATCTTTGAAATCAACGTACAGAAACTGAAATAATTGTTAATGCAGTCTCACACAATTCAAGGTTTTCCTGGAAAATTAGGAGAAAATTTTGAAATTTCTTACATGTAAAGAGGAAGGTCAGAGGCTCATTTTCTCAAAATTTCAAATTTTTCCAGCGGAAAATAACATGAAGAATCTTGGAAATCAACTTACAAAAACTAAATTAGTTGAAAATATCGTCTCACACATTGCAAAGTTTTCCTGGAAAACTAGTGAACGGAAATATTTTGAAACTTTCTACATGTGAAGAGGAAGGTTAGAAACTCATTTTCCCAAAATTTCAATTTTTTCCAGTGGAAAATAACAACATGAAGAATCTTGGAAATCAGTCTACAAAAACTGTTCTCATTACTGTTTTAAATTTTTTAAATTTGGACCTATAAATCATGAAGTAAAATTTTGGGAGAATTTCTTTCAACGTTCAATACAAAACTAGATTTTATTTTAAATTTCCATTTTTTAGTGTTTCTTATAATAAGAATGTGAACCTCAGTGACGTCATGACTACAATTTCCTTTAAATTCCTCATAAATTCCTCACAAATTCCTCCAAATTCCCCATAAATTTCTCCAAATTCCCTATAAATTCCCCAAATTCTCACAAATTCCGAGGAGTTCCTTCAAATTCCCCACAATAAATTCCCTACATTTTTGGCAAAGAATTCCTGGGTGGTTTGCACCTTCGAACTTTATTTAAAATTTTTATTTGCAGTTACTGTTACTACTAATCAGATCGTTCCACTAGAATATCGCACCATTGTTAGGAGCCCTGATATTGTAAATCTACCTGCTGAAAAACACCTGTCAAAAAATACTGAAGTCAATCCTGTTCCAAGCATAAGTCAAAAATGCGATGGAGAAATAGGTACCTATTGAACCGACTTTTAGATTTTGCCCCAACGAATACATTTTTTCCTTTCCTAGAGTACCTGCACACTGGTGTAGAACGGATAAAAAAAAGAATATCTTGAAGCCATACTTAATAGACAAAAAATGTATGATATGTACAAAGAACATTACAATGAGAATAATAATAATCCAATTTCTTTTGCACTCTATAAGGAACGCTTGATTAACAAAAATATAGCTTTTCATATTCCGCGAAAAGATTAACGCTGGTGCTATAATTTATTGTTGTTATCAGAAGCTAACAAAACTCCATAGAGAAGATTCAGGAACTCATTCGATGAAAAGGCTAGGGATGCACAAAAAGAGAATAGGGAGTACGTCTCGGCACTTTGATCTTGAAGCAGTTTTATATAGCCCGTTGTTCCATGCCAAACCCATTTTTTATAACCGTTTTTTGACGTAGCAAGCAAACAGGGTTATTGCTATATTTGGCCCGAGTTTGAGGGGCAAACGGAATATCGACCTGCGTGAAACTGTTTATTGAAGAGCTACCAGCAAATACTAAACATGTAGTTTTACATTCCGATTGTTGTCCAGGACAAAACAGGAATGCTATCATGGTATACATGCTCCAGCAAGCAGTTCAAACCATACAAAATATTGAAGTTATTGATATAAAATTTCTTGTGCCTGGACACACGCACATGCAATGTGAGTCAATGCATGCTACAATTGAGCATGCAACGGAATATGCAAAAAATTATTGGCCAAATGACTCGATAAACGTTAACAAATTGGCAGCTAAAGAAAACCTTACAAGGTAACGACACTTGACCATACTTTATTCATAAATTACAAAGAACTGCAGCAAAAAAAATGATTATAAAAGTTGGGACGGACCCCTTTGGGTTGGAAACAGGTAAAATGGGTTCGAGTGGAAAAATCGAACCCTGATACGCTTTTGTTTAAAAATGAATATTGGGAAGAAGAATTTTTCACTGTTATAACTACTTGTAAAGGTCAGAAATCTAAAGAATCCCCCATCGATATTAGAATAGAATGTCTCTATATTCTGCAAAAAAATCCTATAACTAAGTTGAAGTATGATAATTTATTCTGTATGTGTCAGGGCAAAGATGCTGTGATCCCTCCAGAATATAGAGATTTCTATGTTTCTTTACCAATACCAGTGATAGATATTCCCCCATGATTTGGATGATGAAGAATCTGGTGACGAGATGTCTCTTCAAGGAAAAGGCGCAGGAATTAATTCAATTTATCTAATGCGACAATTTTTTGTTTTGCTTCGTTAATAAAGCATAATTTTTCGAATATACGCCTTTTACTTAAATTCTTTTAGTGAACATTTCCCAAACATCCTAATATCAGAAGGGCGTACGAACCAGAAATCATATTTCAGTTGGTATTGAGCTAGTGCTAAATTTTCCAATAAATTGTAACGTTATCATCTTATTATATTGGCAAAAACAGCAATTTTAATAAAATTTCTGATTTTTGAGGTCTTTTTCTGATTTCCTGTAAAAATTACTTTTTGGTTCATTCGCGCTTCTGATATGACGCCAGCGATATTGTAAATTAAGGCGAAAACATAGCGTATTACGTAATAGAATTATTTTTTAATTGTTATTATTTATTTGAATTTTTTTCATAGTTGAAATAAAAGTTTTCAACATACAAGTGTAAATTTAAGGCACGAGACATTCTGATTACGAAAATTACACAAGTGTGTTAAGTGACATTCTTGTGACTGACCATGATTTTGCAGATATGGGATTATATAAATGGAATCACTAATAACCGAAAGTACAAAATGCTATTGGTCTACTTTAAAATGAGCGAGAACGCCGAGAACCATTGATTCCTCCTTCATAGTCTTGACTATCACAGAGTTTCTGCTCGGTAGATCGCAGGACTGCTGATGCATGAAAAGGAGAATTTGCTTTCGGCCCTATCATTATAGACTCGGCGGAAGTATGCATTAATTTCCGGAAGCGAAAAACTATCGTTTCCAATAACATTCCCAAGATTTAAAAAAAAAGTAACGGCGATTCTATTAGATTTTGAAGAACCTGGTGTCAAAGTTAATTTAGACCTTTATTGAGAAACCTTAAGATGACCACAATGAGCAATTTCTTGGGAAGTACAAAACAGCTAAGGAAGAACAACTTGCAGCAATAAAGTTGATCCATTAATTTAAAACGAAATAAATATGGCTTCAAGATGGCACACCACCAACGGTTATCCAAACAGAATGTTTTTAGAGCCGATTTTGTATATCGTCGACTGTCCACCTTGTTATTACCAATTCTAGAATCTGGAATACTTAGAACATATCTCTCGATAAGTTTCAGTGTTTGAGGTGTACTCCAGGGGGTGTGTGTCACTATTCACTATCTCACTACTTCCAAATAAGAGTGTTCTTTTTTAGAATTCTTCGTTACCTATACCGAAGTTTACCCTATAGATATTAATTTCCAACTCAAGATTAATGAACTTTAGTTTTAGTTTTACCAAAAAAACTTACCTACATAATATTTTGTAGATAATTATTTCCCAGACCTATTTTACTACAATCTTTAACAAATATTGGAATTAGGCCGAGGCTTTGGAAATATTTGTTCCTTTCTAAAGCAAACAAACAAAAATTTATTGCGCACTCACCAAGGATCTGCTCCGAACAATAACCAATAAACTACTGATTTTGTTACCATGTTCAATGCACTTTTATACAAACAAAAAAAAACCGAAACATAATAACCAATATGCATCGATAATAGGAGTATAATTGAAAATCCACTACGTCATATCAAAAAACAAAGTTCAGACGTAAATTTGGTGCAAAATAAAATAATCTTTTTTGTTTGTGGATGGAACTCGTGTGGGATGCGAAATATTTTTTTCAGATAAAACTAATGTATGGGTTTTACTTTCATTAACGATAATACAATACCAGACATTTAGCGTTATTCTATTTTGCTCATTGGAAAAATAAAATAAACATTTTATAATTGAGCCATATATTTGCCTCCCACCGAATGCATATTTCACGTAAGTATCTACAAACATTTTCCCACAAGAAATTCTCTAGCATTGACCATGTAATCTTGCACTTTTGCGTCATTCAAGCAATTCTCAGGTATTTTATTTTACGATTTTTACAAGAAATGTTACAGAGAAATCTATTGTATTTAGAATCTTTTGTATAAAAATCGACTCGTACTCTCGACCATTTCAGGATATTATTGTGCAAAACTGTACGTAAGGTAGGTACCTGATTTAAGTACAAAGTGTATTGAAAAATTGAAGGTTATATTTGGAGGATAGGCATTAATTGTGTAAGAAGCGTGGGATTCTTACCTTTTCCTTTCGTATTTTTCTATCATAAAATCCCTAACTTGTTGTTCGTCTGTGAAACTGGGTAAAGTGCCTTCGTATAAACCTAGCCATGCTTTTCTACAATATTCGTTCCCTTTACTTCTAATAATGTCTATTTCTTCTGCGGTAAAAGTCGCCATCGATATCGACTTGACTCTGTGTGGTGGTGTGATACCTCGTCTGAAAAAAGAAAAAAGTTCATAAGTTTATGTAAACTTAAGGAAATTAGAGTACGATCAGTTTAGCAAAGCCGTTATTTTAAAATAAATACAGAAGTTTCTATTGAATGAATCGAGGAATGAATGATTTTCCCCAACCTGGGGCCCTTGGATACATAGCTCGTTTGATTTCCTTCTGTTAAATTTTAATTGGTTGGTGTTCTTTGCCCTGCATATTAATGAAAATTTATAATATTTCATTTATTCTTGAGGAGGGATTAGGTATTATTAAAATAATTAGTATTACTATTATATTTATTAATAAACGTTCTGCGAATTATTGTGAATGAAACATATTTGTTGCAACTTTTTTTTTATATATTTTAGGTAATTGCACACCTAGTTATGATTATTCTTGTGTATGTACCTATATACATAATATGTTTTCGAATCACATTTGAGTACCTACTCAAATTTATTGCCTTTTTTAGTTTTCAAATTATATTCTAATAAGGTTTATGTTAATTGGGTAAGTACTTAGTAGTATCCATAAGTAATTAACTTTTTTTTTGTCCAGGCCTTATCAAAGTACAAGGGTTTTGCACATGGAATTGCCGCAACCAGCAATTTAGTTATAATATTTTCAGTGACTTCCTGGAAAAACCGAATCGAAAATAAACATTTTTGCTAAAACAAACTCTCTGCCACCGACAAAAACAAACTTTTTTGACCTTTATGATTAGATATCTCGAAGACTTACACTTTCAACTAAATCAACACTAATAATGTTCAAAATCATGCCGTGCATATTGATATTCCATATTATTCTGACTTCAGAGAAAATGGTCGATACATTTTTGAGGAAATAATAGGCATCAAAACCTTACCAAAGAATTAGAAAGCTTCAAATTTGAGATTTGGACTGTATTGGGACTAGGGTTTTTCAAAAATTACTTCGGGACTTGATTCTTGATGTATTTTTTTTTCAGATTCCTCATCTTACAATAAAAAAATCAGCACGCCTTTAGTAAATGATCAAATCGTTATTTTTCCCTCTGTTTAAGTTGTAGTTAATTTGCAAATAGCCACAATCTATGTGTTAATAACATTCATTTAAAAATACGTAAATGTTTGGGTTCAAACTCAACATAATTTCATTTTCGTTTTAGTGCCTGTCACCGACTAGTCTCAACATTCAGAGGTTAAGCCGATTGTGCGTTTTTAATTCTAATAATTATTTTGCATCAGCTCCGCGTGAAATATAAATTTTAATTTGCATTGTAGACGTTGCTTTGTTTATTGGGAATATAACAATAGCTATAATTGTTATGCTGATGCCTTGAAAAATTAAAATCCAATTAACACAGAAATTGTAAATTTAGTCAAAAATTAGTGAACACTTGTTTTACAAAATCAAGGATCCTTCAGGAAGTTTGTAATAATTAACATATAGGTATTAGTCGAAATTATTTAGAGTTTGATCTATAAATATAGCCGATGTGTGTTGGTCGCATTTGGAAATAATATACCAATGTATGTTTAACTTCTTTTTGAATACCTCGTAGGGTGTGGCATTATGGAGTTGCAGACTGGGAAGACCAAAGACTCTTTTTCTCTACCTTTCTGTCTCCTCTGAGGCTGCACAAGAGGTTACCGGAATAACTTCCTCGATCTCAAGTCAAATTTAATGCTTCCAAAATTCAAGCATTCTGAAATAGGAAATCTTCCGCTGATGATATTGATAACCCCCTTTCAAGGATGTCGAGACAAAACCTTTCTATAATCTCTTCTTGGAGTGACCGCATCGACTAACTTGTCTTGGCATGAGCATGACCTCTTCTTCTTTATAAGGCTCAAACGAAACAGACAATGTATGGAATACTGTTCTCACATCTGGAGCAATGCTTCCAAGCATTCGTTGGCTCTATTAGATGCAGTTACAAACTGAGGATTAATCGTCACTTAATTTCTTCCCCTCGTGGTACCACTAAGGTAGAGACTTTGTCTTTGGAAAACTCACTGATATTTGAAAAAATATAGATAGTTTGTTGCATGTATGAACTATTTTGTTTCAAATAAAAGTCAACTTGAACTTGAACCGAATGTTACCGCTATAGAACAAGAGGACAACTATTTATAATGCTAGAAATAATGTAGGTATCTCCAAGTTTTTAATAAATAAATTCTAATCTATTATATAGTTCATTTCTATAGAGGTAATCTATTATAAACCACTGTCAAATGAAAAAAAGGACTGATAAAGTGCCAACATTTGTTCTGCTGATGTAAGTGTGATAGATGCTAGATACTGTTTTCTTTTCTTGTTGGGTAAGTATGTATTCTATTGTTGAATAAAAATTGAGAATTAGTTTATTATATTGTGCATAAACTTTGCTTAGCTTAGTTTGTAGGGTCCCATAATAGAGTCTCTCAAGGAAGTACAACATTTGTTCTGTATTCTATAAAACCTGTACAGAGTCAAAGTTAACTTGGTCGCATGTACCCCATACTGACATTACGAATCGAAAGAGTGATAAGAAAAAAGCATTGTAAACAGGCTTTTTAGTTCTATTCAGAATTTTGAATCCTGAATATATAAATATGGAATCATAGCAATAACCTTTTCATTGAGTGCAATAACATGTTCCTTCTAAATCAGCTTATCATCATCAAGTATCAAGCCCAGATACCTCACACTCAGTTTCGATCAATGGTTGTATTGGGGTACCCAAATAAACTAATACAGTGTCATCGCGGTTGCAAAATATCTGGCCTTTTAATTAGCACATTATAAATTCAAAACATTAATAGAGTATGACAACAGCCCTGCGGTTCTCCAATCCGTCCTTGTATGCCCATGCTCCCCAGTTTCCGTAGAAGTAGCTCAAAGTTAACAATATCGAATGCCTTTTTTAAATCCCAAATATGGCAATTACCATCTCCCCTTTGTCTAGTGCTTTGGAAACAAAGCTTGCAAACTGCAAAGTCCAGAGTTGCACCCAAACTATTTACTATTTTTCCAGAAACCATATCGGAACTCATCAATTAAGTTATTATTACTTATGTGAGGTCATAGTGATGAGAAAAGATATTGATATTTCGCTTTAAAATCTTCTCTATTACTTTCGAAAAAACGCTAATAACAGAAATGGGTTGAAAATTATTTAGTTGGTATTTCTTTCCTGATTTAAACATAGGGATTATTTCACTTATTTTGACAACTTGTGGAAGGAAATGTCCCGGTTATAAAAATATGGTTTATTATAGGTATTAAAGAATGTAATGATATACTTGGTTCGTATATTTTTTTATTCTACCATAGACCTGGAGCTGAATTTCAAGTTCATCATCATGTTAGTGATAAGGTGTTTCTGGACTTTTTCGAAAATTTGTGTGGAGATGTAATCTGTGATAACAATAAACTAACTGTGATATTGGATGACTTTAACATTGATAGCTTCGTTCAGATACTAACCCTACAGGATTGAAAAGAATTATTGATGATAAAGCTCATGTCAGTTAATAAACGAAGTCACAATATCATCCACTGATGGAAAAACACCCATAGATTTAGTAATAACGAACCGATCGTATAATGTGGTGTCAAAGGTATACTCCACCGGTTTTCATACAAACTGGAGTAAGATATCACTTGTCATATATTAGCTGGGAAATTATGTATGGGTTAATGGATGTAGACTATAAGTGTGGGTTGTTTATCAATACTCTTACTATAACACTAAACACAGTTGCCCCTTAGAAGTCAAATAAAATTCAATCCTGTTATACTTAAACCGTGTTGGAATGTAAGAGTAAAGAATGCTGTGAGGATAAGAGATGAAAAGTAAAAGCATTTTAAAGATCAGAAAACTGAAGAAAGTCATAATAGGGTCTATAAACAAAATAGAAATGCGGTAGTGAGGATTATGAGAGAAGAAAAAAGGCTATTTTTTGAGAATAAGGTTGATCAGTGTAAGAATGATCCTAAAAGTATGTGGGCAACATTGAGACAGGTTTTTCCTGAAGATAACAAATCAGGAAAAATACATAAAATAGACTTTATTGGTGGAATACAAGAGGATGAATTAATATTACCTTCCAGATTAAATCGGTTTTATGTTCAAAGCGTTCATATTGTTTCGTTTCAGGAAGGAATTGATAGAAACGATTTTGACACAGTCAATTTAGAAAATGAATGTGTAGATACAAGCAGGAAAACAACACAACTTTTTGTGATTTTAAACTGATTAACTCGGACGATTTAAGCAGTATCGTATTTTCTTTAAAAAATGAAAGCAGTCCTGACGATGTTGCTGTTGGCTTTTTCAAACACGTGCATCCTGTAATCGAACTTCCACTCATAAACTGATAAATTCTTCATTGGAGCAGGGTATTTTCCCGGATTTATTGAAGCTTTCTACAATTGTCATAGAGAAGAAACTTAACTCTATTGAAGCACCACAGAATTATCGCCCAATCAATACTCTTCCGGTCCTTGAAATTTTTTTTGAAAGAGTTGTGTATAGTCAATTTGTTGAGTATCTGGAAAACTGTAATTTAATTACTGAACATCAATATGGGTTTCGAAAAGGACACAGTTGTGAGACGGCAATCCAGTTTGTTCTGGATGGATGGAAAAATGTGAGGAAAAATGGTTTCGACAGCAATAAAAGTACACTCGCAGTGTTTCTAGATCTCCAACGAGCTTTTGAGACAATAGATAGAGGCAAACTACTTGAAAAACTTGAAAAGATGGGAGTATCTGGAACAGTGTTGCCAACTGCGGATCAACTATTATAGTATAGAACGCCATAAAATTATAGTACATTTGTACAAATTATAGTATCCTGCCGGAGACAGATGACCACCAATTGTCCTGGTGGGACACACAAGGATCAAACGAACAAAGAATGCTGGAAATTACCATTGAAAATTAAGAAAAATGAATTAAATTAGGCTTAAATGCACTATCTAACATTTTATTTTTTTCTGGAAAACTATTCAAGGGAAAATAATGACATT